TACAATAAAAAGAGTTGTATTCTACAGATATGGTAGGAGTTGAAAAGAGACCTATGCACAACTTCATACCAATAACTCTGACAATTTCTAAGAATATAATTTACCAAAACTAACTTAAAAAGAAATGGAAAACCTTTTATTCATTAAAGAAACTGAACCAGAAGTTTAAAATTTACCCAGAGACAAGCATGGCTAAGGAAGCAGGAGGAGACTGTGACAGCTGGAAGGGAGGGTAAGGTCAAAGGCAGGTTATTTGAAAAATGGACAATTCTAGAGCATCTGCATACTCCTGGGCATGAGCCAGGACAGAAGAAAAGATTTGTGATGCATAAGAGGAAAAGAATAACCAAAGCAACAAAGCCTTGGAGAGGATGAAAAGAGATGGCACCTGAAAGGCCCAGTGAGGCTGGCCTCTCTCGGCTGTGGGGTGGGAAATGGGAAAGGGTCTGAGTATCAGCTTTGAGCTTCTCCCTGAAGTGTGATGGTCAATAGCTGAGCTGAGCAGGAAAAAGAGGGTGTGGGGGGTTTGGGAAGAGAGAAGGAAAAGTTTGTGCCATCTCGGGGTTCAGTAACAAAGCCAGAACCAAGACCCTAAACGCCCATCCACAGCCTAGAACCACAACGACAGGGGGAAGCATTAAGCTGAGGCCGGCGGTTTTTTCCAGTAATCTGTATTCTACAGGTGGAGGGAGGGGGTAGCGTCGAACCAGGTCCCAGGCAAAGGAGTTAGGGGGTTTTGCAAGGGAGCAATGACAAGGCTGAGTCACAGAACTCAGGCCATTCTAGGAGAACAGTCAGGTCAGAGGGACCCGACAGTGGGAAAGCGATGGAGGAGGTCAAAGAACTATGACAACGGAGGACACTCAGGCAAGTGAACTAGAAAGATAGACAGTGGTCAAGCTAAATGTTTGAAATGAAGACTTCTTAGGTGTCTGGGCATGACAAAGTCTAGGAATGGAAGAAGAGGTCTCTGGAGAAATCTACAACATGGAACTGTGAGGCAGGGTGTTAGGAGAAACTTCCACCGATATTCTACCACGACTTCTGATAACAGAATGCTTATCTAGAAGAGAGCAATTCAGTTCCACTTCGACTTACAGTGACTGAGAGCTCTTACTCTGCTGATGAGAAACAATGGGACCATCTACAAACTCCTAACTCTGGGCCCACCAGAGAGCTGAAGTGACCAGATGAGCTAGACAAGTGCAATGAGCTCCTCTGAGCACATGTGTTGTTTCACCTTTGGGGGAGGAAGGCAGAAAGAGATCACAAAAGTGGGTCAAGAAAACAGCTAAACTTGCAATGAATTCTTAGAGGTTGAGTGTGGCCAGTGTGACCCTGCTGGGCACAACACCTCTGAGAGGAAGCAGACGCCTTCACCGCTGGGATGGCAGGCACCCTCCACCAGGGCCCCAGTCCTGATCCACCAAGAGGAGGGGACCAACCCCTCCAATCCTGAGAGAAAGGCCCCGGACCTGCACAGACACAGGCACAAGTCAGCCACCATGAGGAGGGGCCGTGGGGGCGGTCTGTCCCACCCAAGATCCCTACAGATACAAGCAGAGTCTGGCTGCCATGGGGTAGGGGCAGGATCACTGGGAAAGCTGCACCCGACGCCCTAGACACAGGGTTGCCCAAGATCTCCTGGACAGGGAACCAAGAAAGTGCCACGGTGGGACGGTGGGAGGCTTGTGCTGAGGAGGAAGTAACGACGTCCCACTACCACACCAAGAGGGCCAGAGTGTGAAGAGACCCCTCCCCAGCCCACACAAGCACCAGGACACAGAACACACTGCTAGAGAGATGAGTCTGTGGGGCAACGAGAGCAAAGCCAGGCCAGCTCCAGTGCTGACCAGACTGACCCGACCTCACAGGCACATAGGAAGGTGACCACTTCTGGGTAAACGCATCCACCTCAGCCCTGTGGTCTCCTACACGCACCGTCTGGCATTCTACCAAACAGTATGAGAGAAACAGAAAGCAAGAATCAACAACACTTAAGGAAGAAATAACACTAATTCTATACAAACTCTTCCAGAAAAGAGAAGAAGCAGGAACCCATCTCAACTCATTTTCTGAGCCCCTAAAAGACATTAAAGGCAAGAAGACTACAGGCAGACATCCTTATGAGCACAGACAAAAAATCCTTAACCAAACACTAGCAAATCACTCCAGCAACACGTAAAAAGGATCCCTACACAAAGACTTGTACAAGAACATTCATAGCAGCTTTACACAAAATAATTCAAATATGGAAACAACTCAAACGTCCATCAATGGTGAATGGATAAACAAACTGTGGTATATCTCTACAATTTATTCAGCAATAAAAAGGAACAAATTACTGATGCATGACTCTCAAAAGCACTATGCCAAGTTAAAGAAGTCTATGTGACACTGGAAAAAGTAAAGCCGTGGGACAAAAATTCAGGTCAGTGGTTACCAAGGGCTGCGGGGAGGGGAAGGGTACTGCCTACCAAGGTGAACAAGGGAACTTTTGCGCGTGATAGGAATGTTCTATATCTTAATAACTGTGGTAGTGGTGGTTATACACTGTATACATCTGTAAAAACTCACTGAACTATACAGACGTTAAAAAGATGAATTTTACTGGATGTAAATTATATCTCACTTTTTTAAAAAGGCCAGCAATTTTAACCAGCTTGAACAAAGAGGCCAACTCTACAAAAGTAACGGAAGGTCTAAGTCTACAAACAAAGGTCAACGTTACACCTCTGTGGTCCCTTGGGTCACCGTTTTTATGAGGAGAGAAAGCCTCATTTGACAATCTGTTATCCAGGACAAACTGGGAGTTAGCCAATGAGACCCCTCCTGATAAGACTAATGATGGGAAATGACAGGTACTTCCACCTGCCTCCAAAACCAGGAGGAACAACAGCAACCCTTTCCCAAAGGCACAGTCAGGCTAAACCAGAAGAGCAGGACTGGAAATAGAACATAGTAAAGTTTAGGAGCAAAGAGAGCGCTTTACCCTGGGGGAAAACTTAAGAATGCTGACTCCAACTGAACAGGGAACAAATGAATATCAGTAATACTAAATAGCTTTCCATTAAAAAAATGGGAAAAAGAGGGGCCGGCCCAGTGGTGTAGTGGTTAAGTTCGCGCACCCTGCTTCGGTGGCCTGCGGTGTGCGGGTTTGGATCCCGGGCGTGGACCTACACATTGCTCATCAAGCCATGCTGTGGCAGTGACCCATAAAAGATAGAGGAAGACTGGCACAGATGTTAGCTCAGGGACAATCTTCCTCAAGCAAAAATAGGAAGATTGGCAACAGATGTTAGTCAGGGCCACTATTCCTCACCAAAAAAAAAAAAAAAAAAAAGGGAAAAAGACCAAATACTTTAAGTGGACAAAGAAAGGAACTAAAAGTAAAATAATAAAATGATAAAAGCAAACATATCTGAGGGTGAAAAAACTTCAGATGGACTATGCCATCATTTTAATCCCTAAGGATGGGGTTCCAAGGTCTTTGCTCATTCATTTACTTATTCATTAATGCAAATATTTTGCATACCTAAAATATGCCAGGCTAGGCACTGCTCTTGGTAAGAAAATACGCAAAAACAGCCGCCCTCGTGGAATTTTATTACAGTGAAGAAGAAGAAGAAAGACAAACAAAATGAATAAGCACAATACATGATGTATTTCTTTTTTTTTTTTTTAAAGATTTTATTTATTTATTTTTTCCCCCCAAAGCCCCAGTAGATAGTTGTGTGTCACAGCTGCACATCCTTCTAGTTGCTGTATGTGGGACGCGGCCTCAGCATGGCCAGAGAAGCAGCACGTCGGTGCGAGCCCGGGATCCGAACCCGGGTCGCCAGCAGTGGAGCGCGCTCACTTAACCACCAAGCCACGGGGCCGGCCCTACATGATGTATTTCAAAGAAGTGTTAAGGAGGAGAATACAGCAGGAAAATGGGGCATGTGGGAGGAGGCTGAGTGAGAAATCAGTTTCTCTTCTGACAAACAATGAGATTTTGAGGTTTAGCTATTCAAGCACCACTACAGAAACTGGCACGTGAGACGGGGTGCTACCTTCAAGGAAACCCTAAAACAGAAGTCACGGGCTTAGCAGCAGGCAGCAAGGAGACAGATGAGACCCAGAAAGGCAAAGAAGGCTTATGCCATGCAGCAGCAAAACGTTCACCAAACTGTCACGGGGACTAACCTGGAAAGCAGTCCCAGGTCAGAAAACAGAACATGGTAGTGGATGCTGGTGTTAGCAGCCGCATGGAGCAAGGTATCAGAAGAAAGACAACGGCTCAGAAAACAACCAGCCGCTTGCAAGCAGAAATCAAAGGAAGAGAAGAGCCCCAGAATGTGGGGACTCAAATGGTTGCAAAAGCCAACTCCTTCTAGAACCCAAGAGCAGATATGAAAGCCTTTTCAGAACCAGGGGAAATTTATGTAATGTTATAAACCAATGTTACCTCAATGAAAAAAAAAAGACCAAAAAAAAAAAAGAGCCAGGGCCCAGTAAGACAGTCTAGGCCAAAAATCAGATTAAGGCTGTGGCCTTCCCAAGCAAGCTTGATGGCCTCAAGAATGCCTCCAATCAGCTGAGGCATGAAATCAAGGAAAAAAGGGGGGGGGAACCCAGACTTGTGAATTGCATCTGGGAAAGAATTTCAGGTGAGTTACCAGCACATGGAATTGTCTAAAACTAAACACATATAAAAAGCCTTCTAGCTTTTCAGCAAACTGCATCGCCACAGAAATCCTGAGACCAGACTAAAAAAGCCCAAACACTTTGGGTCCCCGAAGCTTGCTGATCAAGTCGTCCCCTACTACCTAATGCAGGTGTGGCCAGGAAGACCAGGAGGAAGGCCCCAGTGGGTGGAGCAAGGGGCCTGAAGATGGCGCAGGAAGGAGTTCCTTCCAGAAAGCAGACCCAAATTAATTAATTCACTGCCCAATTAGTTCCATAAACCCCGGGGTAAGTAAGCGGATGAGCCCGTGCTCTCCGTGCTGGGTACTCACCGCTGGCTGGTCGAGGCTGCCATGCCTCTCCTCCTTCTCCACAGTCCGCCGGCAGTCCGGGCATACCCACAGTGGCAAGTGCAGCATGCTGTTGCCCTTGGAAGCCATAGAAAGAGCCAATTTGCTCGCAGTCTTAATTCCACTCTCTAAGAATGAAGAATCTTTCCGCTCGCTTCTGCACAGAAGACAATAATCCCCAGCGGGGTAGGGTGGTGTTCTATGATTCATGCCAAAATTAAAAGGAGTCTGGAATAGAAAAAAAAATTCTGTTTTCAAAACATGATGCGCAAAGCCAAGATCATTAAAAAATATTGTATGTAGTTTTAAAACTACAATGCACATGTATATTTACAGAGAAACAAATAGGGAATTTTCTGAATAAACTGTATCCAGTGTTCTAGAAACTCATAATATTTCAAATAAAATAGTAATGCCATAAAGAATATCTTAGTAGGAGTTAGAAAATTGTCCAATTAACCCCTTCACCTAGACTTCTGTATTACTTCTCCCTACCCGCTGTAAAGTATCAGTCTCAATTTTTAGACTGAGCATGTGCCATCAACAAAGTTTAAAGCTACTATTCTAGAGACATCTGCACAGTAGGACTCAGGCCCAAGGCAGCAACTCTGGCTTAAGTGCACCTGCAGATCCTAACCACCTCTGAGGTGGGCTGTCCAAGTTCTAGAGTCTAGATAAACATCTGGGAGCCTGATGGCAGCCATACATCCAAGACCTAGCCTCCCCTCCAGCTCAGCAGCAATTATACTGAATTAATCTCCAGCTAACCAATTTCACCATCCACTTTTTCAAATAGGTCCTAAACTGCAGGGTGAGGGTGGGGGTGGGAGCCTCAGAGGTAGGAGGAAGAGGCAAGATTATTATCCAAGGTCCTCTCCAAAAGATGATCAACCAACCTATCAGAAAAGTAAAATTAGCCTTAAAAACACAAAAACAGGCTCCCAGATTTAAAACAGGCCTAAAGTCACACGGTCAGCAAGCAGGGGCCAAGATTTTAACCCAAATCAGGATGAGCTCAAGATGGATCATCTGCACTTAGAGGAACTATCCTGCAAATCCTGAAGAGAGGTTTGAGAGAGGCACACCTGGGCAACAGGTGAGCAGGGAAGCCAGGCATGGCCTTCCAGAGGCAGGCACAGCTCCGCCAAGGTTCCAAGCTAGCACACACGTGGGATTGAGTTGACAGAAACCCCCCAGGCCTCTCTCACCATCTGGAACGCCCCTGCTGAGATACACAACAGGTAGGAAGGCGGACCAGGACCTGTGCCAAGGCTATTCTGGCTGGAACTTCGGAGTATTTTACCAAGTCTCTAGTTCCACCCAGAGGTTCCTCCGATGCCCACCCAGCTCTGCCCAGCCAGCAGCCCAGCTCTTCCCTCAGCCCGTGGCTCTCTCCCTGGCCTCCTGCACTGAGGCTCACATAGGCCTTTGGCTGTGCTTCTTAACTGTGTGCATTTACACGACTGGCTCCACCGCTGACTGAGTGCTCTCAAACAGGCTGCAGGCTCCATCTCCAAAGCCTGGGATGGCCGGCAGGTATCAGGTGCTTAAAAAGGAGGGCTGAATGAATAAATGAATGAATGGGTGATTAAAAGAATGAATGACAGCACCACTAAGAGGCAAAAGACTTGCACGTATATTCTTACCTGCTTTTATAAACCAGTGATCAAAACTGCTGATACCTGTCACACCCACAGGGTTCCATGGATTTAACCAAACCCAGTTCATCAGTCATTTGAATGCATGGGGTGCAAGGGTGGAGAACTAAGTACTATCTCCCAGTGGCATTCTAGAAAGCTCCAGACTACTTCTCAAACCACAGAATACCATGGGAGTAGATGTCTTTCTCTCTCCCAACAGATCCAAGAAGTCTAAATTATGACAATTACAAAAATCATGCTGATTTAACCATATGTAAAGGCATCTCTTGTCCCTAGTCCTAGAAAACAGCCCCCATCACCGACAGAACTGCCACGGCCTTCAGACCTTTCCAGTCTACCTTTTTACCCCAAGAAGGAGATGCTGGACTCCAAGGTTACAAGGGTTCCCAAGCTGGAAATCATAATGTAAGAGCCAGAACTGACTTGAGAGCACCCAGTTCAGCTCCCCTTCGTCCATCCAGCCATCCATCCAGTATTTACTGGGAGCCCCCATTGCCAAGGCACTGGTCTGGGCACTGGGGACACAGTGGTGAATAAAACAAAGATCCCTGCCCTCAGGAAGCTAATATCCTTGTCAAAGACAAAGACAATAAATTCAGACAGATAAGTAAAAACTATAGAACGTTAGATAGTGGTAACTGAGAAGGAGAAAAACATGGAGCAGGAAAGAATGTCTGGGGATGGTGTCCTTCTATTTAGGGTGGCCAGCGAGGGCCTCCTTGAGGAGAAATACCTGGGGGAGGGGCATTCCTGAGAGCAAACACAAAGACCCTGCAGCAGGAAGCCAGAGTAGGAAACAGGAGGGAGGGAGCTGTGTATGGAGAACAGCTGAGATGGGAGAAAGGGAGGGAACAAGGTGGTCAGGGAGAAGCTCTCTGCAACTCAGGAGTGAGGCAGCAGTGAGGTCCACTGTGAAGGGAGAGCTGACAAAACTGCAAAGGAACCACATGTCAGGGGTAAGAGGAGGAGGAGGAGGGGCAAGGACAACTCCACAAACTTTGGACTGAGCATGTGGAAGAGCTCCAAGATGAGGAAGGCCTCTTTCATAAGATGTGAAATATACCTGCGCCGGCCCCATGGTATAGCGGTTAAGTGCGCGTGCTCTGCTGCTGGCGGCCCGGGTTTGGATCCCGGGCACGCGCCGATGCACCGCTTGTCAGGCCATGCTGTGGTGGCGTCCCACATAAAGTAGAGGAAGATGGGCACAGATGTTAGCCCAGGGCCAGTCTTCCTCAGCAAAAAGAGGAGGACTGGCATGGATGTTACCTCAGGGCTGGTCTTCCTCACAAAAAAAAAAAAAAAAAAAAGATTTGAAATATACCATATGCCAGGCAACCTTACAAGTTAGACAACAGGTCTGCAACAGCAAATAACACAAAGATTCCACTGGTTCCAGAGGGGCATTAGACAGGTAAGCACAGACACAACCACCTGACATCCAATGGCAGGAAGTACTACTCTATGAAGACAATCAAGTCGCCAAGGGAAGAGAGTGGGACTAGAAGAAGGACATCGTTTTAAAGGGAGCAAAGCTAAGCTGAGACCCAAATGCTAAGGAAAAAACAGTTGCATGAAGATCTGGGAGAAGAACACTGCAAGCAGAGGAATAGCAAGTGCAAATGTGGGCACGTCGAAGGGACAGGACAAAGGCGGAGGCTGAAGGTGCGGAGCAAGTGGGTAGGGAAGGCAGGGGCTGCTCATCCAGGCTGTGGGCACGGGAAGAGGCTGAAGGTTTCCCAGAAGGGGGTGGCATGACACAATTTTCAACTTAAAAAGAAACTTTCTTGTGTGAAAAATGAACTCTGGGGAGCTAACAATGTAAGTAAGGCTGTTCCAGGCAGTTCCAGGCACCGGCAGGAGCCATAAAGGAGCAGAGCAGTCAGACTTAGGGTTGTTGAAGGTAGAGCCACAGGACTCGCCAATGGACTCAAGGGAGCAATGAGGACGGGCCCAACCGCCTGGGCAGTGGGCATGCCAACAGAGATGCTGGACGCAGGTGGACAGGCTGGGGCGTGGCAAGAACCAAAAGTTTGCTTTGGATGTTGTGCATATGAAGTGCGTGTTAAACATCTAAACAACGCGGGGGTTGTTTGTTTTTCCACAAGTAAGACACTAGGGGAACAAGTTGCAATTGGATATATAATTTGGGATCACCAGTATATATGGTATGTAAAGCCATGGAGCTAGATGAGATGATCCACGGAGAGAGGGTAGACAACGTCCTGAACAAATGCTTGACTGACACTTGACCAATATGCTCAAGTATGAAGCTGGTCATCTCAAGGAGGCAAAACTCTCCTCTCTACACCTTTTCTGGACAAAGCAAATAACAGGTTACTACAAAACACACACATGCGCACACACTACCTGACTGAAATTCAAAGTAGCCAGATGCTAGCACCCCACCACGTGGTTACTCTCCTTACTATCGGTGATTAAATGAGGTACAAATATAAATTCCGTTGATTCTTTTAAAAACATTTTAAAGCTGTATTGAAGTATAACTGAGGTACAATAAGCTGAAAATATCTAGAGTCTGCAATTTGAAGTTTTGATGTATGTATACACCTGTGAAACCATCACGATAATCAAGATAATGAACATTACCATTACCCCCAAGTTTCTTGGTGCCCCTGTGTACCTACCTCTTTCTCCTTGCTCCCTTCTCCTCCAACCCTACCCCATTCACAGGCGACCGCTGGACTGAGTTGTCTCAACAGATTACCGTGCAATTTCTAGAAAAGTATATAAATGAGATCACACAACATATTCTCTTTTGTCTGGCTTCTTTTCCCTAGTATCATTATTTGGAGATGACTCCCATGTATGTATCAGGAGTTTGTTCCTTTTTGTTACTGAGTAGTATTTCATTGTGTGGGCAAGCCACAACCTGTTTATCCATTCTCCCATTTGGAGACATTCAAGTTGTCTCCAGTTTTGCGTTATTACAAATAATAGCTGCTATGAACATTCATGTTCAAATCTTGGTGTGGACATATGCTTTGGTTTCTCTTGCATAAATACCAAGCAATAGAATGACTGGATCATTTGGCAGGTATGGTAACTTAAAAAACTGCCGAACTTCTGCCAAAGAGCAGTGTTGGAGAGTTCCAGTTAATCCACATCCTCATCAATGGGGTGAGTCATTTCAATTGCATCTATTCTAATGAGTTGTATGGTACTATCTCACTGTGGTTTTCCCTAGTGATTAATTATGTTAAATAACTTTCACAGGCTTGTACAGTATCTTTTCAAATCTTTGGCCTGGCTCAAAGTTTATCAATTTTATTACTCTTAAAAGAATCAGCTTTTGGTTTCATGATTTTCCACATTTTAAAAAATTTTTGTTTCATTGATTTTTGCTTTTATGTTATGATTTCCTTTGTTTGGGTATAACTGGCTCTTTGGTTTTCTACTTTCTTAAGGTGCAAGCATAGGTCACTGAGCCTCTTCTCTTTCATAAAGAGGTGGTCAGTGCTATAAATTTCCCTAGAATGGCTACATTTTACAAATTTTGATATGTTGTGTTTTCATTCTACTTCAGTTCAAAATACTTTCTAATTTCCC